ACACCTTGTACAGAGGCCTTCACAAGGGAATGAGAGACATGCGGTCTCAAGAGAAACCCTTAGACTGAGATTTGACCCTTGATGGTACTCAAGGACAACTGTTGATTCAGACTAGACTGGAGAAAAGACAGAATTTGTCCCATAGAATACTTCTTGAGATGGCAATTCCTGGCCTTGCACCATGAGAAATACACTTTCCAGGCATGATGGTAGCATTTGCAAGTCAACTTTCTAGCTTTAAAAAGTGCAGGGATAACTGACTCAGGAAGGCCTCTATCCCTCAGGTCTTTTGCCTCAACAGACAAGCTGTTAAAGCCATTGACCAAGAAGCAGCTTGGAGAACTAGTTCTTGGGAAAGAAGATCCAGATGACTGGTAGGTCCCATGAGAACCCACCAGGAGCCTGGTGAGATCCAAGTACCATGATTGCCGTAGCCAGTTTGGTGCAATGTCATACAGTGCCTTGAAAAAGTATTCATACCCCTTGAAATTTTCCAGATTTTGTCATGTTACAACCAAAAATGTAAATGTATTTTATTGAGATTTTATGTAATAGTCCAACACAAAGTGGCACATAATTGTGAAGTAGAAGAAAAATGATAAATTATTTTCAAATTTTTTCTCAAATAAGTATCTGAAAAGTGTGGCATGCATTTGCATTCAGCCCCCTTTACTCTGATACGCCTGACTAAAATCTAGTGGAACCAACTGCCTTCAGAAGTCACCTAATAGTAAATAGAGTACACCTGGGCATAATTCAATCTCAGTATAATTACAGCTGTTCTGTGAAGCCCTCAGAGGTTTGTTAGAGAACATTAGTGAACAAACAGCATCATGAAGGCCAAGGACCACACCAGACAGGTCAGGAAAAAAGTTGTGGAGATGTTTAAAGCAGGGTTAGGTCATAAAAAAATATCCCAAGCTTTGAAATCTTACAGAGGACTGTTCAATCTATCATCTGAAAATGGAAAGGCAAACCTACCAAGACATGGCCGTCCACCTAAACGGACAGGCCGAGCAAGAAGAACAATCAGAGAAGCAGCCAAGTGGCCCATGGTAACACTGGAGGAGCTGCAGAGATCCACAGCTCAGGTGGGAGAATCTGTCCACAGGACAACTATTAGCAGTGCACTCCACAAATATGACCATGATGGAAGAGTGACAAGAAAAAAGCCATTGTTGAAAGAAAGCCATAAGAAGTCCCATTTGCAGTTTGTGAGAAGCCGTGTGGGGGACACAAGAAACTGACGCGTTTTGATGTAAACCCTTTTACTCAGACCCTGAGGTCAGGACCCTTAAAGAAAGGGCTACAGAACACAACCCCTTCCCAAGCAGTTCACCAAACATGAGCCAGCAGGACCCCCAAGGCTTCTCCCTTACACCTATGACCCATCATGGTATAGATGTGATTGATTTCCCCTAGGGGTATTCACAATAACATTGCAGAACAGGAAGGGGTACGATACCCTGTGACCATTATTAAGGCAGCAAGGAGCCCAGAAGAATTGTCCCAGAGGATTGCTAATGCAGGTGAGAAGGCAGGAGAGGCTGAGCTGAATCCACACACGTGTCCCAAAATGTCATGGGTATGCACAATGAGATCAACCCAGAAGGAGGTTGTGCAGACTCTGAGAGGGCACCCAGACCAAAACCTGGTAAAACAAAAAAAAAGGTGAGATATTCAGCGCAGAAAAGATCATCTCCTGCCACCAGCATGTGACTAAATGTGTTTTGCAGCTAGTGCTTCATGTTTATAACCCTAAGAGACAGAAGCAGCAATCTTGGGCTCTCATTTATAGGCCACGGCACCTTACTTAATGCAGCTGTCTTCTCTTCTGCGGCTTACCCCAGGCTAATAGGCAGGGTTCTAGGGGCAAGCCATTCAGTAGTCTTCACCTAGCTGGTAGATATACTCACTAAGGAGTCTTCAGGGACTGGGTTCCACCAGAACTGTGGAAAACCTTCAGGAATTCAATGCATTGAACCTAGGTGAGCACCAAAATGAGTCACACCTGCATCTTCTTCCTGAGAACATCCAGGCACTCTCCCCATGGTAAAGGCGTGGAGTAACCAATCTGAATGCAGTAAAAAGGAGTCCCAGGAGCTCTGGAGCAACAGAAGAATCTTTACAGAATCTTGCTAAAAAGTGAAAAGATTTTGCTTCTCTCAGAGAGAAGATGTCCATTCTTCTAAAGCAGTAGTCTCCAAACTGCGGCCCGGGGGCCAGATGTGGCCCTTTGTCTCTCTTTATCTGGCCCTTGGGCACTATTACATATTCCATTGACACCAACAATGGGGCTTAATTCCTGTCACTGACACAAATAATGGGGCACTATTCCTCCCACAGACACCTATAAAAAGGCATTATTCCTCCCACTGACACCAGTGATGGGGCACAAGTCCTTCCATTGACAGCAATGATTGGGCAGAATTCTTTCCATTAACAACAATGGGCCACTACTCCTTTCACTGACACCAGCAATGGGGCACTATTCTTCTTATTGACATCAACAAAAGGGTACAAATCCTTCTACTGACACCAATGATGAGGCATAATTCATTTCATTGATACCAACAATGGGGCACTATTCCTCCCACTGACACCAAGGATAGGGCTTTATTCCTCCCACTCATACCAATGATGGGGCACTATTGCTCCCACTGACACCAAGGATGAGGCACTGTTCCTCCCACTAACACCAATGATAGGGCACTATTCCTTCCACTGATACCACTTATGGGGCACTATTCCTCCAACTGACACCAATGATGGGGCACTATTCCTCCCACTGACACCAAAGATACGGCATTGTATACTCTCACTATTTGCCAGGCCAATTTCTAATCCCACTGGCCATAGCCCAGCCCCCCTAAAGTCTCAAGGACAGGAAACTGGCCTTTTGTTTAAAAACTTTGGAGACCCCTGTTCTAAAGCCACTAGCAAAAAAACTCAGTCATGCAAGGCAGTGGAAGGGGTTTACTGAACTTACAGCTTTGCCTTGCTAGTGTCCAATGGTCCTGAAAGTGACAGTATAACTCAGTGTTCCTGAATACTATCCTGTGTCCCTTTATGCAAGACTAAAAAAAAAAAAAGGTTTTGGCTAGAGGTACATTTTAGAAGTAAGCCTTAGAAACAATGAGTATGTCTACGTTCATCTGGTGGGTGGGCTGCATACTCTCTCTCTGCATAACACAATCTTTAAGTCTTTAAGTCAAATGTTCCCATCACAGAGTTTTAGTTTGACCACATCTCAATAGTGTTTCCTAAATGCATTTAATCTATTGCATGTAGCAGGCATTTACAGCCAGAATCTAACTGTTAAAGCCACAGTATACATTAGCTGTATCAATTTGTAACCCAAAGTCATAAGTTTCACATGCAGAGACAGTAAGCACTCTTGGATAGACATGAATGTACTTTATGCATTCTGTTTTTAATGGGCTTAAAACAATTAACCAGTGTTGTTCAATGCCTGACTATGGACAAATAACAGATGGGAATTTCACATATGTTGTATTTTTTATTCTGAATCCCCTTATGCTCAGCTAATAGGACTAAAAAGAAAGATTAGTTATGTGATTCCAGTGACATTTCATTTGTTGAGCAGTTGAGAAAGTGCACAGAATGCATACCTACCACTGAAGATAGCACACTATAGGCTTGTTTCAAGCCAAGCTGAAGTATCACACATTTTTAACTCTTTATCACTACGTTTTGAAACTAATTTTTGCTTGGCAATGCAAGGAAATACCATGCCAGTGATCTTGTTGACACAAAATTCAACTGCCCATGGGACTAACAAGGTAAACTACCAACTACGGTACGTTAAAAAAAAAAAAAATCTCATAACAAACCTAGATTTCTGATGAAAATAAAAAGCTGATTTATCTGTTGCGAATATCCCCAACATTCACAACTGCATCATAAAAGGTTTATAGTCCATTGTATTGCTTATACAGATATTTATATATGTGACTAAAATAGGGCATAGTCAGACATGCAGCTATTGACCATCAATATTGTCCCCTTTTCTGTCCATTTTTTAGCCTAGGATAAAATTCCACAGGATCCCAGAGGTGACTGGGACAGGAAGGTCCTTCAGGAGGGAGATGAGGTGGATCTATTCCCTGAGGGCTACTTGTCCTCCATGACTGCATGAATCCACCTCCTTTAAACCATTTCTTTAGTGAATACTTGTTTATATGTGTAATAGTATCTTATATTCATGTGTTTATTTTTGTATATTGTTAAATACAAGGTAAGCAGACATTGTGATTGGATGGATTATATTGACACAGTTTCTTCCCCTGGATGAAAAGAACAGCAAGATAACCAGGAAACGTAAGAGAAGCTTGCCACCAGAACTCCCAAATAAATAAAAGATGCTTGTGGGCGTTTCAAGCTGTTGGTATCCCTTACTTAGAGCCCAACAACAGTCAAAAAAAAAAGTTTCCTTTGCAGTGGGGCTATGTCCGTACTGCAAGGGTTAACTATTCATTTTGCCCAAGGGAGAGGCGAAAGCTTTTATTCACCTGATACTCCACGCAACCTGCAAATGTAGCTCCCCCACAATCCAGCAGCGGAATCTTCCTGGCTTCCTCACGTCCACAGCAGGTCTATGGAGCCTACTCTGGGCTTGCTGAAGTCAGGAACAGTCCACCACTAGAGCATGGGGGTGGATAAGCTGCAGGGACCAGTCCTTTGCAGGCAGGATTGAAGGATCATGCAAAGTATATCTTTTTCTCCTCTCTCCTAGACAAAAAAATGAGCACAGCCCCACTGCAAGGGAATTGTTTTTTTTCCTGGAGTTCAGCTTTAATCATTTTGTTAGCTATACCATTGCAATATAAAACATTATCAGACATGACAATAACTGGTATTGCCAATTGTAATATTTAATATTACAGTATCTTACTGAAAAGAACATATCACAGATCATCAAGGATTCTTCTCAACTGACAAGAAACATTAGTAAGATATAAGAAAGGTGTATTACTTACTTTAAAGAGACTATGCACCATCTCTTTGAATTTTTGCACAGTGGTTCCTCTTGTTGGCTTGTCAAACAGTATAATTTCCTTCTTAGGTTCCAGCTCAGATCCAAAATCAACATGCTCAGCATCCTCCATCTGACACTTTATCACACCTTCTAGATTTCCCCAGATTCCCAGATACTTCTAAAACAAAGCATTTAAAAAAGGCTAATCAAAGCCTGCACTTCCATGCTGGACATCATGCCTGTAACTTATTTAGAATTGGATGAGCAAAGTGGCATAAGGCTTTATGCATTTGAGTGCACTTTGGGCAAGTCTGGGTCCAATGTACTGCACATACTCATGCAGTACTTAACATTAACATGCCTCTTTTGACCCTGATACTGTACCGGTTTACATAACTGATCCTTTGATTGAGGATATTATGAGATGAATATTTCTGCATTTAGGTAGTCTCTTTTATAGAAGCACAATTCACAAGAAATTGTATACAAGTACTTTATGTATCATTTTTGCTGGCTGTTTGAATGTATTAGCCTGGTTTGATCTATTTAATTTGGAGATTCTTTAAATGACTGGAGGGCTGATGCTCCTGTTATACCAGGGCTATGTTTTAGTTGTAAACAGGCAGTTTTATTATTACCGGGCACTGTTGGCATACTGATAACATTGTTGGCAAATTTAAATGCCTGCATACTTTGCATGTTTGGTATTATTTGTTTTTTCTTTATAAGCACAATTGAAAACATACTGAGCCGAATAAAAGTTTGGAGAAGAAATGTTTGAAGTCTCGGTATAAGCTGGCTTCCCACCATTATAATGAAACAGCCTGGACACTGTACAGTGGATTATGCTTGGGACAAACACAGCAAAATAGGGAAACACCAAACCAATCCGGCACCAAATCATTTCATTTTCCAAACCATTCTTTTAATATCACAGCAAATATCTGTCAGCCTTGAATGTCAAAGACAAAGCATGCACAGTCCAATAATCACAATATGAGGCTACTTCCGCACTGATCTCACGTTTTTGCCAAGGTTTTACCACATTTGCTGTGCATTTTTTAAAGGTCACGTGATTCAAAAAACGCACCAAAAACATAACGCAGGTGCATTTGTGCGGCAGTTTCCATTTATTTTAATGTTGAGGTACGTTTTTTTTTACCGACCAAAAATGCAGCAAGCAGGACTTTAAAAAATGCATCAGATCCGGAAATGATCAGTGTGAAGAGTTGCATAGGAATACATGGTCACATGTTTTTCTTCCACTTTTTTTAAACGCAAACATGGAAGAAAAATGAAAGCAGCCTTAGGGCTAAAATGATTGAATATGCCAAATAAGCATATGAAATGCCATCTTTGATAAGAATGAGACTCAAGTGGCTGAGGAAAGATGTGTCCCACGCATTTCATGATGCCCAAGGAACAAAACATTGCCTTTGCAATATGAGAAAATACGGTTGGTTGCGGTGAGGCAAAAATTCAGTTAATCTTAGACACTTTTATAAATGTTATCAGTAATATTATTGTATTATGTGGCTCTACTGCTAAAAATAAAAAAAAAAAAGCCTAGCCATACTCTAGAGAAGGGTCACCGACGCACTTTTCAGAATGTTAAGTGGAAGTGAGAGCCCGGCATTATCTTCTCTTATGAGCATACACAAGGGAAGACATTCCAGATGTTGCAGAACTACAGCTCCCCAAGCATCATATGAGACTTTAACAGATGGAGTGCTGAAGACTGCTTATCCCTGACATGCATTGTCTCTGCTATTCTCCCTAGTACTGCACAAAGAATTCAAATATTACCTGATTGTTCGGTCTGGTTGACAAACATTTCCCAAAATAAAGATTTTCCTTGGAGCAAAGACCTTCACAGGCTGATCCGTCAATAATGCCTTTTCTATACTTATCACACTAGAAGCAGAAGAGAAAAAAAACACATCAATAGCGAAATGATTAAACTAGATAAACAAATGTTCTCGCTACAGGTTTTATTTACTCTGAAAACATTTCCTGTGGGATTCTGTATCTCCACTGTGACCACTTGTCCTAGCAATAACCAGTTTCCTTTCATGTTACTTGAAAAAAAAAATAGCATTCACTTCTTACAATCCTATCTTTTGGTATGCTGTATTGGTAGATAAGTCACAACGCATAAGTCATCGTCTCACTTTACAGATTTCATCACCAAGCACAATGTTGCACAATACAGACATTGTTGGAGCAATTGTGATACAATATCATTGTATGTTTCGTGGGTGACTTCATCAGTGGTCCTCAAAAACCATGCAGGGTTAAGAGATTTGATTTTCTATTCTTCGCTCCTGGTAAATCAAAGATATATAGAGGTCTACATGTCCATTACTTTTTCAAAAGCTGAGGAACAGAATTGTTCCAAGAGCATTTAAAAAACGATGTGCATGTTGGCTGAAGAAGGATCATCTGAGAGGCTTCTCGTTATTTATTTATTACAGCTACTTATATAGTGCTGTAAATTTTACACAGCGCTTTTATATATACAGTATATTGCACATTGACATCAGTCCCTACCCTCACAGAGTTTATACTCTAACATCCCTAACCAGGGGCGGACTGACCATTTGGAAACTCGGCCACTGCCCGAGGGCCCGGGGTCAGTAGGGGGCCCCATGAGATGCCCCTGGTACCTTTTTCATAGGCTTTTTTTGAGTTTGGGCAAGGACACAGGGGCCCCATGATCCCCTATTGCCCGATGGCCCCATGAGTTGTCAGTCCGCCCCTGTCCCTAACTCACATTCATACATACTAGAGTCAATTTAGACAGGAGCTAACTAACCTACCAGCATGACCTTGGAGTGTGAAAGGAAACTGGAGCACCCGGAGGAAACCCATGCAGGCACAGGCAGATGCAAACTCCAGGAAGGTAGTGTCATGGTTGAGATTATATCTAAAGATCAAATTCCTCTGTATATTGGCAACCTGTATCCTACCTGCGACAACTGTTAGTTTTCCTGTTTCAATATTTTTATTGATTTTATTGATTGTATAATCACAAAGCCAACAGTAATACATTATTACATAAGGCCATTAATCATCAGTATAAAATATACAAAAAGAATGGGAAAGAGGGTAAACAGCTCCCAGTCTACAAAGTAAAAAAAGTAACAGAATACAGTATGAAGTTATTCTAAGGTGGCAAGATGATGTCTATCTGGAAACGTCCAATGAACCTGCTTCCCAGAGCAGGTATCAGACAAATGCACAATCAACTATTAGTTTTCATGACTGTTCAATTATCGTCCCCTTAAATTAGGTCTTTCACTGTTTGCGCACCCAAGTGTAAGGTACACTGACCTGCAACTAACAATACACCCTCCTGCTTCAGAAGGATTTGCACAACTGCCAGATATTAAAAGACACAAATGAATGCAGCTATATATTCATGGCACCACCTGCCTAGAGTTTGCATGCTCTCCCTGTGCCTGCGTGGGTTTCCTCTGGGTACTCCGGTTTCCTCCCACACTCCCAAGACATGCTGGTAGGTGAATTGGATCCTGTCTAAACTGGCCCTAGTATGTGTATGAATGAATGGGAGTTAGGGACCTTAGATTGTACGCCCCTTGAGGGTTAGGGACTGATGTGAATGTACAATATATGTATGTAAAGCGCTGCGTAAATTGATGGTGCTATATAAGTACCTGAAATAAATAAATATATTCAATAATAACGTATTGGGGTCCAGGCACACTGGGCTTAAAAAATGCTGCTTCTTACAGTTTTGCCTGTAGAAGCAGCTCTATTTTATCTTATGTGTCCATGCACATTAAGATGCTTAGAGACATATTTTAAGCTCAGCGCTTAGAGGCAGGAAAAAACCCTCCTGGTTTGTGTTTGAGTGGAGTTTTCTGGCAGAAAAAAAAGGGCTAAATGCTCCTAAATGGCCAATATGGCTGTTTATATGAGCATTTTTATGTATATATTTTATATTTATATGAGCAACTGGTGTTTTTTTTTAAGCCCAGTGCGCGTGGACCCTTAATGTGTTTTTTAGTTCAAGCAGCATAATTAACCAAATTTAATTTTGTATTAGACTCTTGCCATCCCTGGATTTTCGAAAAAAATTTGTATTTCTGTTCAGCCAGTCTTGTGATCCAGGTACCCTTGCCCAATGGAGGAGCAGCAGCACACATACAGATGAGTCATCTCTGTGCTCATTTTACTTTCAGAATCTTCCTCCTGTTAGCACACAAGCATTGCAGAAGACCCTGATTAGTGTTCTGCTTGTCTTCCCACAGCTCCTCAGAGTTTGAAGTAATGATATGTTCTGGGCAGATTATTTCATTACACACACAGTGTGCGCTGGGTATGAAGTGTCATTTCAAAATGTTTTGATGCACTTTTAAAATGTGGGCTCCTTTCTTGATTTCTGTTCTCTTTGGCATTAAATATATGTAATAGATTTTATGGGTGTGTAATTACATGTTTTTCATACCAGTCACATGAGTGGTCATTTAACTACTTCAAGTCTGGACACTTTCACCCCCTTCCTGTCCAGGCCAATTTTCAGCTTTCAGCACTATCACACATTGAATGACAATTGTGCGGTCATGCAACACTGTACCCATATGGGTTTTTTAGCATTTTTGTGAGACAGATAAAGTTTATTTTGGTGGTATTTATTCACCGCTGGGATTTTTATTTTTTTTGCTATACAAATGAAAAATTCCAAAAAGTTTGAAAAAAAAAAATGTTTTTCTTGTACAATTTTGCAAAATAATAATATTTCATCATAAATCTTGGCCAAAATGTATTCAGTTATCTTTTTAGTAAAAAAAAAAAAATATATCCCAAATTAGTTTATAACCAAAAATTATAAATTAAAAAAAATTTTTTTTTACTTTTTTATTTTATATTATTTGTTTTTTTTGTTTACATACTGTCACCCTAACAGTACAGTGTCACCATGGTGACATTGTACTACTTGTGGGGGGTGATGAAGATTTTTTTTTTTCTTCACACTGATTGCTTTTACACTCAAAGGCTATAAAAGCAATAATTTCTCCTCTCTGGCTGCATTCTTGCAGCCATTGAGAAATACTGTGTGAGCTGTGATTGGTCAAAGCCTGTCACATGGTACAAGGCTGTTGTGAATAGCCTTGTACCACGTGACCTCTGTGATCATTCACAGATTTGACACGTAGCAAGCAATGATGTCAGAAGTGACATCTTGCTTACTACTCTGCATGTGATCACTGATTGGCAGAGTAGGCCATAATAATGACTGTGTGGGTTATATGCCACCTGTAGGTGAATTGACATTGGCCGACCAATCAAACATATAACCCCTCCTACGCAGGAAGTACTCAGTTTTTGTAGCAAGCAATGAAAATCCAGAAAGAAGGGAGGGACCTCTGTGTTCTGTAATACACTCCAAAAAATGCATTTTACAGGTAAGTATGTAGAAAAAAATCCAATTTTCTTTATTGTACACCACGGGACACAGAGCAGGACATAATAATGACTATGTGGGACGTCCCAAAGCAGTAACCTTGAGGGGTGGGTGTCAAAACAATAACCACCACCAACATCCCAAAAGGAGCTATTCAGTAAAACACTGCAGCCAAAGGCAGAATACTCCGTGGCTCTGACATCCACCTAATAAAACCTTGTGAAGACCATGTAGCAGCCTTGTAAACCTGAGCAACTGAAGCCTGATGATGGATAGCCCAAGATGCCCCTACACTTTTGGTAGAGAGTGCTTTTGCCCCAAAAAGGGTGGAACCTTGCTCTTCAAATCATAGGCTTAAATGATTAACTGACAAATCAACTTAGAAATAGTTGATTTGGATGCTGCCTGTCCTCTCCTGGGTCCTTCCGGCAAAATAAACAAGGAATCAGCCTAATCTGCACCGTCATTCTCAAAAAGACCCTCATTTCCCGAACCACATCCAGGGCATGCAAAGATCTTTCTTTTGCTGACTGAGGCCTAGGAAATCTTTCAAGTTAGCAGAACCAACAGAATCTCCCTGATAGGTTAAAACGGTAGTTTCTGTAAACTGCCGAGACCAAGTTCAAGTCCCAAGGACACAGGGGCTGTCTGACAGGAGGAACAGTACATATCACTCCCTGTAAAAAAGTACAAACCAAAGAGTGAGAAGCAATCGGTTTTTGGAAAAAAACAGCCAAGGCTGAAACGTGACCCTTAATAGTACCAACAGCCAACTTCTTTTCTACTCCTGATTGGGGAAAAGTCAAAATTCTTCCAATCAAATATTTCGGGGGTACCAATTTCGACCCGAACACCAAGAAATATATGCCTTTCAAGTTCTATAATAAATGTTCCTAGAAACCAGCTTCCTGGTGTTCAACATTGTGTGGATAACCGAGTCTGACACTCCCCTATCTTTCAAGATTTGGGTCTCAACAGCCATGGCGTCAAATTCAGTGAACGTAAAGCTGAGGCCATGGATCGCCCACTGCTAGCCTGACAATGTCCACGTACCAACACATCCTGAGCCAGGTTGGTGCCACTAATATCTTATTATGGCCTGCTCTGTGTCCCGTGATGTACGATAAAAAAAATTCAATTGCGATAGTGATAATGCAGTGGAGCAGATAACATTGGAGGCAATCTATGACCTTCTTTGTTTAACCAGTTGCGGCCCGGCCGCCATCTGGCTATAGTTAAACAGCTCGTCCCTCTGGGTGGACGCTATATGGCGTCCTTTCCAGAACGTACATTGCGCATGCCTGCAGGGCCGTAATGTGGCGTGATCTGTCAATGGCCATGTACCTCGGACATGGCCGATGACAGATCTGTGTACTGGCCCCGTTGCCAGTACCGTGTGACCTGCTGTGAACAATCACACCAGGTCACATGACAGTTGTATAAAATGGATGGCTTCCTTTCATGCCATCCATTGTATACAACTGTG